AGGTGCAATTACAGGATAATGAGTATATTCATGTACTTCCATTTCATTACCGGGAGTGAATAGTGTAGTAGGTGCAAGAGGTGGAATCTGTAGTGAAAGGTCAATATAATCATTGACCATAACGTGTGCTATACTGTCTGTCGAGATGGATTCATACACTTGTCGAATAGTTCGGGCTAATGAACTTTTCTCCAATGTAATTTCCATTAATTTATCCATGGATGCAATGTCTAATTTATCTATTTATAAAATGATATTTAAGCTAATTATATAGAATTTATACAGTCGATACTGTCTAATTGCATATATCTTTAAATGCATAAAAAATTTTTTGTTCTTAATTATTAACACCAAAATGGTTTTTATAACTTAAATGCATATACTGTCTATATGCATAAAAAAGTCTCCGACGGATGGCATGCAATTAGATAGTATCGACTGTACTTAATAATAATCAACAATATATTACCATTGTTGTCCCTCAATGACATTATCAATTCGGCCTCTTTTCTAACGTACCCACATCTTTGTTGCTCATACTGCAATGCAGCCGTCAATTTAGTAATAACGTGTTTATATATGCTATCTACTTGTTTATATAATTCCAATTCGGGCGGATCAAGTACAAATACAAGATGGAAAAATGTATGCTGTTGATTTGTACTAGTCGAAGAAACTTCACTATTACCAGATGTAACACTAAAAGGTGTTTGAGTTGTTGCTTCCTCGATTGGAGGTTCTTCATAAGTCGTTAACCTTGATAATTGTTTTTGTAATTCTTCGTTCTCATCCAGGTCGGTAGAATTTTCACCGTCCCCAGTTCTCTTAGAATTCTCACTGTCCCCAGTTCTCTTAGAATTCTCACTGTCCCCAGTTCTCTTAGAATTCTCATTGTCCCCAGTTCTCTTAGTTGCTTCCTTATCTTTTGAAAGTGGGGCCCTCACTCTGTTTGTTTTCATCTGCTCTATTCATAAATACAGGTTGTCCAACAAATGTTAAATCATCGATGGATAATTGGAATTTTGAGGATCCCTTAGGGTTAGGACATAAAGCAGTTGCCAACACTGAAGTTTCAAGTCCAAACAACTTGTGAATCGCGTTACGCTCAATATCATTATTCCCAGAATTATTATCGATAATGACTTCAAATTCATCATTATCATCCTCAAGTCGTGATCTAAAGGATTTTAATGATCGTTTGTCGGCATCATCTGC